GCAAACTAAAACACCCAAAAGAAGAGAGAGAGCAAAAGGGAATGCTCTGCCACAGAGGTGGAGTGGGGTTGGAGGAATAGAGTGGGGGTGGTGGAAATACTGAGATCATTGGTGGTGGAGAATGGGCACTGGTGAAGAGATGGGAACTCAATCATTGTACGACTGAAACGTAAGCATGAAAACTTGTAGATCTGTAACTGTACCTCACAGTGATTCATTTAAAAAAAATAAGATCCTGATCAAGTCTATGTTCCCTAAAAATTTTTCCTTCAAGATGCAATCTAACCCGGAATAAAAGGAAATGTAGTAAAACATTCTGTGCGCCAAAGCCTTTAAATGTTACCAATTCATAGAGCTCCTGGGATACACTCATCAGTTTGTATGGACACTAACAACACCAGGTTTCTTTGGAGGGGAGCATTTCAGACTCAGATAATTTACACACTCAGTCAACACTACACAGAGGTCACAGAAATTTGTTCTAAATTTATTATCATTAACATGCAACACAGCTGTAGGAAATTATAGAAGAGCAAAGCATTTTTGAAAATGTCCTGATGCTGATATTCAGGCTGTTTGATCCAGAAACAAAAAAGAAATCATGATCTTGCTGGCTACAGTCTTACTAACAAAGATTTTTGGTTTTCTCAAAAATCATTTTATATCCAAGTTATTTTTATTCCAGTGATACTGGTGATTGCCAGTGATTTGGGGTTGATAATAAGATCCATGTTTATGGGTTGAAATTACATGGTCAGAATTAGTAAGCATTGCAAAATTGTATTCTTTCATGTTTGGAATGACCTCTAAAAATAACAATGTGCCAAAAGCCAGGATAAAATAATGAAGGAAAGATGAAATCTTTTCATCCATAGAATGGGGTGAATAAGTAGTGAAACACGAATGCGTGAAATAAATTAGGACTGTATCATTCCAAAAACTTAATGTTGTATGATCTTTCATATGAAACAATTGCTAGGAACTTTCTGCAGTAGCCCAGTGAGTAAGTCAAGTGACCTTTCTGAAGGAATGTGATTTTTGTGTAGTTTAGATCTCAATCCAACTTTTGAGTTGGGTTTTGAAGCTTGAACCAACCTTAAATCTTACACAGTGCTAGTTTTGCAACTGAATATTTAAGAAATTCTTGAGAGAAGGTCAATGAATTTATGGGAAATTGAACAGTGGGAGATAAAATAAGCAAGACTGGACCACAAGGACAATTGTCTTCTGTACGACTTGTCTCCCTCTTTCAGGTCTTTTCCACTTTCTTTCCATGCTCACCAACTGTGCACTAGGTTGCATGGTCCTATGTGGAAGGTTTCTTATGATTTGGGGGCTTTTTTTCATCTTCTATTAGAAGTCTTAAGGCTTAGGGCACTATAGAATCTTTAAGTGCTGCTCTTAGAGGACTTAGGAGTTCTCAAAAATCAACGTTTGGAACCTTGGAAAGCCCTTTGGTGGCTATTCTCCTGTGTAAGAGCTCTGAAAGAATAAAACCATCTGACTGCACACCATGAGGTGAAGGTTACCTGGTCAGGTAATAACAGAAAAAAACTCAATATGTGACCTATTGAGGAGCAAATACCATACCTAGATATTTGGGGATTGAGAGTCTGAACTGAACAGTGGTGAGCTTATTCTCACAGGAGACCAAGAAATGAGTACATGAAACACCAAAGAAGGCTCTGTGATGGGTACAGTAGGAGGGAGATCACCAATGGATAGCTGGAGATAATCAAGAGGAGCAAAATTCTGGAATTCAGAGAAAGTTGTGAGCTAAACAGCCTTCTAAGAATAATATGGATTGGGCTGGAGCGATAGCACAGCGGGTAGGGCGTTCGCCTTCCAAGCGGCCAACATGGCCGACCCGAGTTCGATTCCTCCGCCCCTCTCGGAGAGCCCGGCAAGCTACCGAGAGTATTCGATATGCCAGACACAGTAACAACAAAGTCTCCAGTGGAGACGTTACTGGGCCCGCTCGAGCAAATCGACGATCAACGGGAGGGCCTTTACCTTTACCTAACTCAGGAATATTTCTCATCTTATTTAGCCATTAAAATGAAAAAAATCCTGTCATTGTTTTGAGAACATAAATGGTCCTTGGGAGCATTATGCTAAGTGAAGTAAGTAATACAGAAAAAAAGTAAATACTCCATGATCTTATTAATATGTAGACTATGGAAAACAAACAAACAAATTAAACCAACAAACATCTCACAAAAAAGACATCAGAGTCAGAAATATAGTACAACAAATGAGGCATTTGTCATGCAGCTGACTTAAGTCTATCTCTGGAACCTCCAGTGATCACCCAAGCTCTCCAAGAATGACCCTTAGCACAGAGCTAGCAATAAACACTAAGCACAGCCAGGTGTGCCCCCATGTCCCCAAAATGCACAAATTCAAAAAAGAGAACAAATTTGGGGTTGTCAGAGATGGGGTGCAGGACTGGAGAGTGGTGGTATAAATTTCCAGTTTTATGATAAAAACATGCCTGTCTTGTATAGATACCAGGATACATATACAATATGATTACTATAGCTAGCACCAACTCATGATGTATATGCAAGTTATTAAGAGAACAAATCCTAAAGTTTCTTATAAAGAGAAAAATATTTACTTCTTCCTATTCCCTTTGCTTTATCCTTTCATTGCGTTTATATGTGATTATGGATGTTAACTAAACTTACCGTGATGGTCATTTCGTGTATCATGATGCATGGCGATGACTGCAAAATAAAAGTAGTGCAGGGGGAAGAATTTTCCTACAGATCTCTGTAACAGACTTGTTTTATTAATTGGTTTTTAGTCTTCACTTTAGTAAAGATCAAAGACTAATTTTAAATTAGTTAATTTTAAATTACGTTTAGTAATTATGCTAGGTGATTGTGGATCATTTAAGATATCAGTTTTACTCTTATGTCTAGCATAAAAACTTAAAGTCTCTAAATATAAGAACTGTATTTCATTTAGTTGAATACTCACTGGGCTCTTCCCTAGTAGGTGGGACCCGATGAGGATGTGCAAATGGATGTCCACATCCCATGCACTCAGTACATAAAATCTATAAATCACAGTTGAAAGTTGTTAAGTAAAACAATTTTTATTCTTTCACATTGGAAAATATATTTTCATAATAATAAGCAAACACTGTCCTCCCATTGTTCATCGATTTGCTCAAGCAGACCCTGTAACAGCTCCATTTTGAGACTTGTTGTTACTGTGTTTGGCATATTGAATACGTCACAGGTAGCTTGCCAGGCTTTGCCATGCGGGCAAGATACACTTGGTATCTTGCTGGGTTCTCTGAGAGGGGCAGAGGAATTGAACCCAGCTCGGCCGGGCTGGCTGCATGCAAGGTAAATGCCCTGGAACTGTGCTATCGCTGCAAAGATGTGGGAATCTATATTTTATGTGACAGAAAGTCAGTAAAATATCAATGACTGAACTTTTTATTATGCATGTCAATAAATTTAGATGCATAGTAAAAAGACATGTGCATTTCATAAATTACAAAGTATTACTTCTTAAAAATTTTGCCTTCATTTCAGCAAGGTTACTACTTTCCAATTTATAAAACCATGATTTTTATATAAGTTGGATTTGATATAAAATGGTGCTATATTGGCAAACTTTCTACAATCATCCAGCTTTTCAAGAGGGTCTTAAAATAATTTTTATTTTGAGATTTTCTAAGATGAAGCAAATGGCTTTTTAATTCAGTTATTCTAGTGATATTTATACTTGACTTATATGGGAATTGAAGGGCACAACATTTTGTACAAATTTAAATATTGAAATGAAATAATGTAGCAGATACTTTCATTGTTAATATGGTTTTATCATATTGATTTTTGTCACTTATTTTGAAATCTCCCTTTTCTTATTTATCTCTTAAAGATAAGAGATAAATATTTCACTGAAGATTTACATCTTTCAAAGTCTTACAAAAATTTTAGCTACAATATCACAAAGAAAATTTACAAAGCTAAGTATTCTTAATTTAAATGCCTGTTTAGTATCACCTCATGAAAATCTTCCTGTGGAAATTTGTTTGGGGTTTATTTGTGATTTTACCTCTTCTGTTGTAATAATAAATACTTTTGTTTTCTTATTCTAGTTTTATCCTAGAAGGCTATTTCACTATGTAGCTCATTTTATTTTTATTATTCTACCTAAAACTAAAATATTAAGTAAAATAGCCTAATTTGGTTCTTTTTTAAAAAGCTATTACAAATTGATGATGATGACTTTAATTCATACTGATAACTCTGAACAGCATATATTCAAAATTAATTTTATTTTCATGCAAAGACCACAACTCACTTATTCTTTGGGCACCTTAACTTTTCTGATACATTTTGTATCTTTTCTAAATTTAACATGATTTCTTTAACAGTTTTCAGTCAATATGTGACTAAGAGAACTTATAAAGTCAAAATTGATAGTGTTTCATCAAGATGTTTTATTTTGGGGCAAATCCAGAAAATGTCATACATAATTTTGAGTTGTTCCAAAGAATGTCATTGCTATTGGTCCAACTGAAACCGTCTCATAGAAATAAATTCAAAACATGTGCCAAGCATGGCATAAGGAATGCTTCTGGTTTTCAGCCAAATTTATGGCCTTACATCTTTTTCCTTACCAACCATGTCAGCACCATTATTGTTGATTTTCCCTCTACAGTCTTTAAATTGCTTGAATAAAGTTGACATTTAAAATTTAATTTAATAAACATTACCAAAAATTTAAAATATATATTTTTATGAAGTAAGGCCTGTCACAATTATATTATCTAACACAACACTCACCTAATAGTACCTTTTTTAATGTAAAACTTTAAGTGTTGTATAATTTTATAACACTGCTAAATGTTTTGCATTTGCTATACGCAGTTGTGACCAATTGAGGCATATAAACCTCTGAAAACTAGTGGTCAAACAGAAAGAGAAGCAGAAAACAGATGCTTTATTACATTCATTTTTATCAGTGGAGAAATTTCATAGATCCATTGACTGATTCACTTCATTGGCCAAATGTTCCTGCAATTCCGTTTGTCTGAGCAGTGTGCACTTCCGACCATGGAAGTCCCTTGATCCAAGCCGCCCTGGTACTTGATCAGAGTCATCTTTTGTCTCAAGTCTTTAGAGCAAAAGATGTGAGGTCACCAGATTGTTCTGTGTGACTCCAATCTGATTGCCTGCATCAATCTCCCATATGGTCAGGCAGATAACATCTGAGCTTTCTGTCCATTTGGAAATTTAATCTATGATGGCTACAATCTCAAAAAGATGGGTCCAGACTCTTAGTGTTGGAACCAGGTAGCAATTTTCTTTCTTGTTTTTATATGAAATAATTCAATGCATATTAAAGACCAATTAATATTTTTGAACAGATGATGGCAATCATAACAATAATTTTGCATTCAGCTTTTGTTAAGTAAGAGTATCCTGCATATGTCATTAGAATACAGTAAATCTCTGGTAGTGCCAAAACGTTTTCATAAACAAGCAAGAGTGGTTAACAAGAAGATTTAGTTACAGAGTAAGTGTAGAGATTCATTATTTGCATATAGGTTCAGGTACCATCTGTTGTTTAGTAATCACAGTAAAAATAGAAAACATGGTCAGTGATCGCTGGTTTCCCATTGATTTTCCAACTAACATTTGACTAACGTCTTGACATCTGCTAAAATGGTGATATTGCCCCACCCCAACTCCACACAAGATAATAAAAGAAAAACAGTGAGAATTGAGAATACAAAGCATAAAAGGATAAAAAAGGTTTTGTTGGTAAAATATTAGAAAGCAATTTTAAAGAAACTCTCATACACTGCTGGTGGGAATGTTTCTGGGACAATTCCTATGGACAACAGTGTGGAGTATTCTCAGTAAGCTTAGGATTGAATTGCCATATGACCCAGAAATTCCATTTGGAAGCATCTGCTTTCAGGACATAAAAATACTCTCTAAAAAGGATATATGTATACACCAGTATTCATTGCTGCACTCAATCTTGTCCTCTCGGCAAAGCCTAGCAAGTTACCCGTGATGTATTCGATATGCCAAACACAGTAACATTTGTCACTATGGAGACATTACTGGGCCCGCTCGAGCAAATTGATGAACAATGGGAGGACAGTGACAGTGACAAGGAATCAATCTAGATGTCTTAAAACAGATGAATGAATTATGAAGATGAGGTATATATACACATTGGAACACTATGCAGATGCAAGGAACAATAAAATAATGCAATTTTCTTCTTCGACAAGTTTGGAACTAGAAGATATCATGTTGAGTGAAGCAAGCCAGAAGATGAAAGGATGATTTCACTTACCTGTGGTATATAAAACTTTGGATGAGGAAAGGTTGTAAAAGGTGGAAGCCTAGATCATCCATGACCCCAGTGTCTAGAGAGGAAATGGACAGAAACGGAAAGAATTCAAGGGGAAAAGAGGAGAATGAGAAGAAATGGGTGATAAGAATCAGGGCTTCAATTATACAGGTGATATAAGTGAGTGTTATCACAATATAACCAAAACACAGAGTTAACAACATTGAAAACATGATTTCTTTTTTATTTATTTATTTATTTATTTATTTATATTTTTATTAGTGAAACACCATGAGGTACAGTTACAGATTTCCAAACTTTCGTGCTTGGGTTTCAGTTATACAATGATCAAGTAAATATCACTCCACCAGTGCCCATTCTCCACGACCAATGAACCCAGTAGCCCTCCCACCCCCATGCCCCACACTCCGACCCAACTCTGTGGCAGGGCATTTGTGTTCTGTCTATAATCTACTTTCAACACATATCTTGCATCCTGAGTGAGTCCTCTAACACCCTTTACTTGGTGTTCCCTTCTCTATCTGAGCTGCCTTTCCCCCGCAGCATGTGAGGCCGACTTCCAAGCTATGGAACAGACCTCCTGATACTATCTCAACTATTCTTGTGTTTTAATCTCTCATTCTGTTACTTTATATTCCCCAGATGAGTGCAGTTTTTCTATGTATGTCCCTTTCTGACTCATTTCACTCAGCATGATACTTTCCATGTCGAACCACTTGTTTGCAAATTTCAAGACTTCATTTCTAATAGCTGCAGAGTATTCCATTTTGTAGATGCACCAAAGTTTCTTTAACTAGTCATCTGTTCTCAAGCACTCAGGTTTTTTCCAGATTTTGGCTATTGTGAACAGTGCAGCAATGAACATACAAATGCAGATGTCATTTCAACTATACTTTTTTTGCCTCTCCAGGATATATTCCCAGGAGTGGTATTGCTGGGTCAAATGGGAGCTCAATTTCTAATTTTTTGAGACTCGTCCATACCGTTTTCCAAAAGGGCTGAACCAGTTGGCATTCCCACCAGCAGTCCCTTTCTTCCCACACCCACGCCAACACCGATTGCTTTTGTTCTTTGGGATGTGGGCCAGTCTCTGTGGTATGAAATGATATCTCATTGTTGTTTTGATCTGCATCTCCCTGATGATTAGTGATGTAGAGCATTTTTTCATGTGCCTTTTTGTCATTTGGATTTCTTCTTTGAGAAATTTTCTGTTCATTTCTTCACCCCATTTTTTGATGGGGTTGGATGTTTTCTTCTTGTGGAGTTCAACCAGTGCTTTGTATATCCTTGATATCAACCCATTATCGGATGGGTATTGGGTGAATATCTCTGTATCTTTTGCTGTGCAGAAGCTTCTTAGTTTAATATAGTCCCTTTTGTTTATCTCTTTTTTTTTGTTTATCTCTTGGTTGGTCAGTGACATTTCATCTTTGAAGATACCATTAGCCTCAATATCGTAGAGGGTTTTGCTGACCTTGTCTTCAATGTACCTTATAAATTCTGGTCTGAAAATATGATTTCTAAGCCACAAAAATTGTGACTTTGTAATGTTTCTGTCAAGTTGACAAGGTGAGGATAGGATTGGGTTTTGGAGGGAACACTGGTGGAGGGAAATTGACACCGATGAAGAGACTGACTTTGAAATATTATATGCCTAAAACTCAACTATCAATAACTTTGTGAATCAAACTTCTTTAATAAAAAATAAATTAAAAAGAAAACAACCTTTAAAATTAGCTAGGTAAAGTTTTTTTACCACTGGCAAAGCTTGCAATATTTTTATTTCCTAGATTTTTCAAATACCAAAGAGACTGCACATTTTTCTTGATGGTGTGATTGATTGAAAAGCTTAAAGTAGGATAGAAGAAGATTAAAAGTCAAGGTCACTATTCTGATTTCTAACAAGAGTGTTGACTATGCTATGTAATTAGTTCAATTGGGTATACCCAAGCAAAGACACTCAGATGAGATGAGCCCATGGTACTGGTAGGAACTAGTGGTAAAGTTTTCAAATGGTGTTTTTTAGAAACAACATTAGATATAAATACATTGTAATTTACATCATTCTTCTTTGCTGAGATCAGGTAACAATGCCCCAACACCAATCCCACCAGTAGTCTCAACTCCCTTCCACCACTGTCCTTGAGGTCTCTATCACAGCCTAATAGGACTTCTTAACAGGAACATTTTTTAGTTTGTTGTACTTTGGAATTCATGCTTCCAGAATTTTGTGTTCTGAAGTTTTTATGTTAATAAATCTCATCTCTACATTACTGATATGCTAGAGGCTCCTGAACTTTACCCACTTTATCTCCCATCTTTCTCTTCTATCATCCCACTCATTTTTTTCACTTCTTATTTGTGACCATGCAGTCCCTCTTCCTGTTATTCTTCAGTACACTGAAAATAAGTGAGATCATCTTGTATGTTCCTTCTTATCACTCACTTCACTTAATATGATATCCCCCAGTTCCATAAAAATTGCTGCAAAATGCATGATTTCACCATCCATTGCAGCTACATAGTTTTATATTGTGTTTATACACCACACTCTCATTATCCATCTATCAGTAGTTCTCACAAAGGTTGATTCTATATCCTAGCTATTTTGCGGATTGCTGCAATGAATAAAGTAAAAGTAAAGTAAAGGCCCTCCCGTTGATCATCGGTTTGCTCAAGCGGGCCCAGTAACGTCTCCATTGGAGACTTTGTTGTTACTGTGTTTGGCATATCGAATATGTCACGGGGAGCTTGCCAGGCTCTGCCGTGCAGGCGAGATACTCTCGGTAGCTTGCCGGGCTCTCCGAGAGGGGCGGAGGAATCGAACTCGGGTCGGCCATGTTGGCTGCATGCAAGGAAAACGCCCTACCGCTGTGCTATCGCTCTAGCTGCTGCAATGAATAGTGGTGTGTATATATCATTCTTGTGTCTCGGGGATAGATACCAGGAAGTAGATTGCAGGACTGTGCAGTAACTCTAGTTTTACTTCCCTGAGAAACCTCCACATTGTTTCCCACAGTGGTTGAAACAGAGAACATTCCCACCACAGTAGATGGGAGTTCCTTTTTCACTACATCTCCACCAGTACAGATTACTCCCAGGTGTTTTGATGTGAACCTTTTCTTTCTAGTGTCAGATAGTATCTCATTGTCATTGTGGTTTGAATTTCCCTGATGATAAGTGAGGATGAGCATTTTTTCATGTTTCTATTGACCATCTCTCTGACCTCATTAGAGAAGTCTCTGTTCATTTTTTTTCTGATTTTTGGATAGGGTTTTGAGAATTTAGGGGATTTTGAAGGAGATTGATTATTTTGAGTGCTTTGTATATCTTGGATATTAGTCCTTTATCTGTTCTATTGAATGCAAATATTTTTTCCTCATTCAATTTGGTGTCTTTTAGTTTTAGCCCTTGTTTCCCCAGTTATGCAGAAATTTTTAGTTTGATGAAGTCCCATTTGTTTATTTTTGCTTCTGTTATCTTTGTTACTGGAACTCTATCATTAAAAACAACTTTGAGATCCAGATATTGGAGTGTTCTGCCATAATTGTTTTGTATACTTTATGGATTCTACTATAATACATAGGTCTTTGATTCACTTTGAACTGACTTTTGTACAGGGTGTGAGATATGGACCCAGATTTATTTTTATTTACAGGTGGCTATCCAGTTTCTCCAACATCATTTGTTGAAGAGCCTGCCATTACTCCATTACTGCACTACTTGTTGTACCTACATCCTTTGTCAAAAATTGTGTGAACGTAATTGTATTGAGGAAGTAGAAAACATACCATGTTTTTTGGATTGAAACGATGTCGTTAAAATGAACACATTACCTAAATTACTATATAGACTCAAAGCAATCCCAATCCAAATCCTGATGATCTGAGCTCTTCAAGGACTTACAATGGTCAATAATAAATAAAGCTTGTGTGGAAACACAAAACATCCCAGATAGCCAAAGGCATGCTAAGAAATAAGAATTTGATCAGTATCTCATTACCCAACTTGAGAATATATTATAAAGCTATAATACCAAAATAGTCTAGGTAGTTTTATAAGTGAACAAATCAAGACTTTACAGTTCAGTGAGGTTTAACAAATTGAAAACTGTTGCAAAATTTAAAAGAAATATTATCTGACACATTTTAGCAGATCTATAAAATAACTATTATCCTCACTTCTTAACAACATAGATGTGCTTTGCTATTTATGCAGCATAAATTGTGTACTTATAATTATTCTTTGTTCAGATATATATTTTTATTCACTTTGTTGTTTATAATTGGAGTTAATTCTTTTTATTTATTTATTTATTTATTTTATTTATTGAATCACTGTGAGAAAGGTTACAAAGCTTTCAGGTTTAGGTCTCAGTCATGCAAATATCAAACACATTTCCCTTTACCAATACTTATTTTTTACCATGAAGAACCCCAATAAAACCCCACCCCCACCCCTCCCAGTCCCTGTGAGGCAGATGAATTCTAGTTAACACTCTATCTGCTTTGATTAGATTCATTGTTTCAATAAAAGATTCAGCACTATTATTTAGAGTTTGCCCCCCCCCCAAATCAGACATGCTGAAAAAGCATTGTGAAGTGATTTGCTTTCTACAGCTGGGTTCAAGAATTAAATGTTGGTTTTGGATTTCTGCTATTTTACCTATTGACCCTGGAAGTATTTCTACTGAAAGTCAGATAGTTAAGAAATTGATTTCTGTGTTCTGGAGTTGTGGCCGTGCTGGAGAGCCGCTCGTGGGGGGCAACTGTTGGCCTCGGTAGGGCGTGAAGGGCGGACCGAAACGCCCCCCTTCCCATGAGGTTTTAGTCGCCCCCACACCCCCGGCTCATACCTGCTGTCCACAAGGCTCCCATGCGGCCGCCATCTTTCCTTCCAGAGAGGAGAGGGCGATTGGGGCAACACCCTTTCCCCTCCGGGCAGACATGATGGCCTGGATTAACGCATAGTCCATTCACTTTTCTGCTCCAAGATACTGGGTTCTGCATTAAGTCCTTGTGCTTCTGGGGCTGTGGCCGTGCTGGAGAGCCGCTCGTGGGGGGCAACTGTTGGCCTCGGTAGGGCGTGAAGGACGGACTGGAACGCCCCCCTTCCCATGAGGTTTTAGTCGCCCCCACACCCCCAGCTCATACCTGCTGTCCACAAGACTCCCATGCGGCCGCCATCCTTCTTTTCAGAGAAGAGAGGGCGAATGGGGCAACATTGATGGCCTGGATTAACGCATAGTCCTTTCACTTTTCTGCTCCAAGCTGCTGGGTTCTGCATTAAGTCCTTGTGCTTCTGGGGCTGTGGCCGTGCTGGAGAGCTGCTCGCAGGGGGCAACTGTTGGCCTCGGTAGGGCGTGAAGGATGGACCGGAACGCCCCCCTTCCCATGAGGTTTTAGTCGCCCCCACACCCCCAGCTCATACTTGCTGTCCACAAGGCTCCCATGCGGCCGCCATCTTTCTTTCCAGAGAGGAGAGGGCGAATGGGGCAACACCCTTTCCGCTCCGGGCAGACATGATGGCCTGGATTAACGCATAGTCCTTTCACTTTTCTGCTCCAAGCTGCTGGGTTCTGCATTAAGTCCTTGTGCTTCTGGGACTGTGGCCGTGCTGGGGAGCCGCTCGTGGGGGGCAACTGGTGACCTCGGTAGGGCGTGAAGGACGGACCGGAACGCCCCCCTTCCCATGAGGTTTTAGTCGCCCCCACACCCCCGGCTCATACCTGCTGTCCACAAGGCTCCCATGTGGCCGCCATTTTCATTTTTTTCAGGTTCCACATTCTTTGGTTCTGAATCATGAACCATGTCTACTCCTCCTTTCATTAATATGGTAACATAATGGTAATTCTCTTTCTCAGCAAAAGAATTCACAACAGAAGCAAAGCGAACATTTTTCAGGTGAAGAGCTGCTTCTTCCCAGGTTTCCCTTTGAGCACATTCTTCCCAGCTTTCTCCGAACTCCAAATGACCGCCGGGAAGCTGGAACATGCCAGCGCCAAATGATCCTTTCCGCTTGCCCAGGAGCACGCACCGAGGGTGCTGGCTGCTGGTCACCACCACTCCGACTCCGACTCCCGGACGCGGCCGCTGCGGCCCCGCGCCGGCCATCCTAACGCGGCCTGAAGTTAATTCTTATTCACTGTCATTTAGTATTAAATTGTATTACTTTACCAAAATTCAGTTTTTCATTTTTAAAATTTTATATCTATTTTCTACAATAGAACACCGTTATTGTTTTGTACTTGCAGTACTGCTAAACCAAAGTGTCAAAATCCTTCGACCATTGTTGCAAGGTCCCCTCCTCACCCCTTTATCATCTTCAAATCACTCTTCTTTTGACCTTATATCACGGTTGTCTCCATTGTGGATTGTGTAATACTTTTCTTAGTTTCTTTGTACTCTGCATATGAGAAGACCATTCAATACCTTTTTCTTTTGGGGTCATACCCAGCTATGCACTCAGGAATTACACCTGGTGGTGCCAGTGGGACCATATGGGATGCTGGGGATCAAACCTAGGTTGGCCGTGTGCAAGGCAAATGCCCTACCCGCTGTGCTATCATTCCAGCCCCTCAATATTTATCTTTATATTTGTGACTCACATCACTTAGCACAAGATCTTCAAAGTCCATCCAAGTTGCAGTAAACAGCACTACTCTATCTTTTCTCATAGCTGAGTAGTATTCCATTGTGTGTATATACTACTGTTTCTTTTTCTAAATTTTTAAATTGAATCACTGTGGTATACAAGTTACAAAGTTGTTCATGCTTGGGTTCTAATTATACAATATTCTAACAACCATCTTTTCACCAGTGTACATTTCCACCAATTTCTCCAGTTTTCCTCCTACCCACCTCAATCTGTCTCTATGACATACACTCTTTCTCTTTCTCTCTTTCTCTCCCACCCTCAAACTCTCTTCCTTTTTATCTTAAAAGATAAAAAGACACCGTGCTTGCAATCCTTTTCTGGCATGGATGTGGGAGAAAGGAACTCTATTGCATTGGTAGTGGAAATTCCTGACTGGTCCAGCCTTTCTGGAAAATAATATGGTCATTCCTCAAAAAACTAGAAATTGAGCTTCCATATGACTCTGAAATACCACTTCTGGCAATATATCCCAGGGGGTCAAAAAGGCACAGTAGAAATGATATCTGCTTCTGTATGTTCATTGCAGCACTATTCACAATAGACAGATTAGCCGAGTGACCGAGAACAGACTGCTGCTTCAAGAAACTTTGGTACATCTACACTGTGGAATACTATGCAGTTGTAAGGAAAGATGTCATGAAATTTGCTTATATTGTGTTGGGCATGGAGAGTATCATGCTAAATGAAATGAGCCAGAAAGAGAGGGACAGACATAGAATGACTGTTATTTTATATTATGGAATATAAAATAACAATATGAAATGACACTCAAGGACAGTAGACACAAGGGCCAGAAATACTGCTCCATGGTTGGAAACCTGTCCGTTAAGCTGGGGGAGAAGGCAGTTGAGATAGAGAAGGAATTACTAAGTCAATGATGGTTGGAGGAATCACTCAGGATGGAAGATTTGTGCTGAAAGTAGATACAGGACAAAACAGGATGACCTCTCGGTATTGCAAACTATAATTCCCAAAAGCAGAGAAAGAGAGTAAGAAGGAAATTGTCTGCCATTAGAGGCAGGGGTTGGGGTCGGGAGGGGGTGGCGAGAGAGATACTGGGGATGTTGGTGGTGGAAAGTGTACACTGGTGGAGGGATGAATGTTTGATCATTGTATGACTGAAACTCAATCATGAAAGTTTTGTAACTGTTCTCATAGTGATTCACTAAAACATTAAGAGTAAAATAAAAATAGTTTTCTTAATGACAGGGAAAACTCAAGTACAAAATAAAAGTTAATAAAACATGTTTTTGAGAACAGAGTTGAAAATGTATCTATGTGAGTAAGCATTATAGTGTATTAAAATTTTATTTTATTTACATTGGTTAAAGTCACATAGCAGTGAATCATCACAAATTACTTTATTGATTTGATATCTAATAATTGTATTCACCCTTCCTTTAATTTTTTCTTGGAACAGCAATATGAAAGAAATTTGTTTTGAGCCAGAAAAGGGGACACGACACACTGGGAGTGGTGGCATTGGTGTTGGAAAATTGTATGCGTGAAAAAACTGTGTTATGAATTACTTTGTATAATCGTGCTTTAATAAATATAAATTTTCATTAATAGCAAATGAAAAAAAGAAATTTTAACTAAAAGAGCTCTAAGATTGAAGACTCTGCAGTTGGAGTGCTAATCTTAGACACCATCCACAAGATCCCATATCTGATTTGTACCTGCTGAAAGGAGATGATATACCCAGAAACAGAGAGATCCTTTTGCCTTTTACCTCATTTCAACTAACACTATTTCCAGTACTTCCATCCTTTCTGGTGTGAGATATCTCATTATGTTTTGCTTCTTGTGTTCTTCCCCAGGTCCTTACCCACCTAACAGACTGACAGTCACACCCACAATTTGCCTCCGGGTTCCATCTTAGTGCACCAACAGCCCTGTCCCAGGAATTTTTCAGGATTCTGGCTATTGTAAACAGTGCTGCAATAAACATACAAGTGGAGATGTCATTTCTACTATACTTTTTTGCATCTCCAGAATATATTTCTAGAGGTGTTATTGCTGGGTCAAATGGGAGCTCAATTTATAATTTTTTTAGAAATGTCCATATTTATTTCCAAAAAGGCTGAACCAGGGGGGTATGGTGCCACTAGAAGGTCAATCTGTACCTGTGCCAGTGCATCAGCAGCCTGATGCTACCTTCAGACTTCTAGATACCCCAAAATTGCTGCTGTGCCTTTGGCCAGACCCCAACAGTTGGGACCAAGTTTACTAAGAAAGTAAATGGCCAAATGTTAGGTATGTGGGAGACACACCCACAAACCACCTCCAGCTCAGCTATATCTTTGGAGGAAAGGCCTTTCTTGTTCCTGATCAAACTGCAAAATGGCTATGATCCCAGAGACTCAGAAACAAATCTCAGAACCCAGCGGCTTTTGGCAGAAATTCGTCTAGTCCTAGCAGTAGGTTACCCATGCTGGGCCACCCCAGAGAGGAAAGGTTGCTGTCCCTCTGCCTGCTCCTTCCTGGCAGCTCGGTGACCATCATCCTCCAGATGTCATTGGACAATCAGGTTGGGCTCACAGTGACGAGACACGTGGGGCCTCAAGGGATGGGGTTGGAGCTGTCCCTTTCCTCCCCACTCCAACGAGACCCTGGGTCGCCGCCCATAAACTGCCTCCCTGGCTCCTGATCAAGCTGCTTAACGGCCATGATCCCAGAGACTCAGGAACAAATCTTGGAACCCAGCAGGTTTTGGCAGAAATCCCTCCAGATTTAATTGTTAAAATTTCAGAATCCCAAATTGTGCAGCCACTATTGCGGCCGTGCAACATCTTATGTTATTCATAACCAGCAATAGAAAACAAATTGTCTACTGTTGCCTTTTCAGCAGATTTGAGTGTTGGAGTAAAATCCCAATTAATAATGGTGGATCTGGTGTCAAAATATTGAATGCAATCAAAGTAGAGAGAGAGAGTAATGTGGAAATCATCTGCCCTACAGGTAGGGGGAGGGTGTGAGATGGGATGTATACTGGGGTTTTTCATTTTCATTTTCATTTCATCATCCTGTTATTCGTCGATTGCCTCGAGCAGGCCCCAGTAACATCTCTTTCATCCTAGCCCTGAGATTATATTCCAGGCTCTTTAGGAGAAAGAGACCCATCATTGTTACTGGTATTTGGCATATTTGGTACACCACGGGGAGTTTGCCAGACTCTGCCCTGTGGGCAGGCTACATTCAATAGCCTGCAAGTTTGTCCAAAGTAGGAATGAGATAATAAGATGTCATAAAAAGATGTTTTGATAAGACGTCGCGCGGCCGAGAATGCGGCCGTGCGGTTCCGGGAGCTGGATTTTATAGCCTCTGAGTCTTGGCCGTTGATGGGATTACACGGCGCCAGGGGGCCAGGTGGTGGGTGTGACCCCCGCCTATTGGAATTTGGAGGATCTGGGTGGAGGATGCTCGACTCCAATCCGAGTAGGCTTGGAGATCTCGGCCCCAGAACCCGCGTGGCTTTGTCCCTCTGCCAGTACCTTCATGTGTGCGGAGAGTGGTCTCAGCATGGTGGTGGCTGGTCCTGGAGGTCTTCGGCTGTCGGAGCCCTGGTCGGGGCGGGGAGGACTGGGGTTTTTGGTGGTGGAAAATGGGTGCTGGTGAAGGGATGAGTGTTTCCTCATTGTATGGCCAAGACTTAAAGCCAAAAGCTTTGTAACTGCTCTCACGGTGATTCAATAAATAAATTTATAAAAAAGAAAAAAAAGGCGGTGGAGTTCATGCCCAATTCAACCAGCCTAATCAGTGGTTGAATAATTAGCAATACTCCTACATTTAAAAAAAAAGAAAGAAAAACAAAAGGGCTGAACAAGTCGGCATCCCCACCAGCAGTGAAGGAGAGTCCCTTTTTCCACGCATGAATAGTGATGAAGAGCATTTTTTCATGTGCCTTTTGGCCATTTGGATTTCTTCTTTTGAGAAAGTTTCTGTTCATTTCGTTACCCCATTTTCATATGGGATTGGATTTTTTTTCTTGTACAGTTTAACCAGTGACTTGTATATTGATGATATCTAATTGATGGTTTCATTTGCATTTCATTTTATTTTTGTTTTTGAGTCACACCCAGTGGTGTTTGGAGTTTACTTCTTGCTCTGTGTTTAGAGATCACTCCTGACAGACTGTAGGGACCATATGTGTGCAGGGGATCTACCCTGGATCAGCCATGTGCAAGTCAAGTACCCTTCACCGTACTATCACTCTGGTCCCCATCTTCATGCCTATTACCAGTTGTTTTAAATACTTCGATGAAACATTATTGAGAGCATCTATGTTTACAATTGTGACTTCTTGATGTATTTAATCCCTTGATTAATTTAAATGGCCATCCCTATCCTTTATTACCTTTTAAAATTTGAAGTCTATGTTGTTTGATATAAGTATGGTCACTCCAGACTTTTTAAAGTAATTTTTTGCCAGTGAGATTGCTTTCCACTCTTTGAC